TTGCTCCAAGGAGCTTGTTATGGCTATGCAATGATACTGTCTTCTGGAAATTCACGAGTTTGGATGTCTACACAAGTGGGTTATTATTATTGAAGGGTATATCCTATATTAATCAGCCTCTTTGTATAGTTGGTTAAAATGGTATAAATATATCCTTGAAATAGAAGAAACTTGGCACTTTTGTTTTGCTGTTAAAATTCCTTGTACATAGTATATGTTTAGTAGATAAGGGATTTTTTTTTATATTTGTTTTTTTTAAACCAGTGGTCTGGTGTGCAAAAACTAAACACCAAAAGCAAATGAAAAAAGTGCACCTAAACACATAAAAAGTGCACTTAGGGTGTGTCTGTTAGCACCCTCCTGAAGAGGAAGGACCCTTCCCTTACCTGCTGGGGCACAAGATGCCTGGCAGGGGCAAAACACACTTATGTCCACCTAGACCAGTGGTGGGCAACTGAGCCAAATCAGTTTTTTTTCAACTGAGCCAAATCTCGCCAAAACCACGATTGAAATTTATTTTGAGAGCCACATATTTAAAACTGAAAATACATCCCCCATATAGTAATTCATCCCCCCTATAGTAATTCATCCCCCCTATAGTAATTCATCCCCCATATAGTAATTCATCCCCCATAGTAATTCATCCCCCATATAGTAATTCATCCCCCATATAGTAATTCATCCCCCATAGTAATTCATCCCCCATATAGTAATTCATCCCCCATATAGTAATTCATCCCCCATAGTAATTCATCCCCCATATAGTAATTCATCCCCCATATAGTAATTCATCCCCCCTATAGTAATTAATCCCCCCTATAGTAATTCATCCCCCCTATAGTAATTCATCCCCCATATAGTAATTCATCCCCATAGTAATTCATCCCCCATAGTAATTCATCCCCCCTATAGTAATTCATCCCCCATATAGTAATTCATCCCCCCTATTGTGTCAATTCACTTACCTTTGCTCCGCGCGTTCCTCTCGCCATGTTCCCGCGCCGTTCCGGTCTTCAGGGCGGACTGCGAGAGGAGAGGAGTTCGTCACGCTGCCCCGCCTACATCCTGGCTGCCCCGCCTACATCCTGACAGCCAATGTTTGCCACGCTTCGCGGGCCGGATTAAAAGGTCCGCCGGGCCGTAGTTTGCCCATTGCTGGGCTAGCTGCAGAGTACTGACTTTTGGGGCGGCCACCCGAGAGGAGGGAGGGGAGCGGGCGCCCAGCACACAGAAGAGCCGCATTAAAGTCTGTAAAGAGCCGCATGTGGCTCGCGAGCCGCGGCTTGCCGACCACTGACCTAGACAAAAGGCCCTATGCACCTTGTTCCTTGTGGTCAGCCGAAGCTAACCAACGAGTACTAGGTGAGGGGCTTTCCCAAAGATTGACCCCCTCCTAAGGCAGGAATGATGGCCACACATCCTTCCCCTAGACTTTAGGGATTATACTTGTACTGCACGAGACAGTGGACTGAGTTCTTTTACAACTTAAGCATTCTGCTAAAGTTGCAAATGGGTGGAAGATGGGTGCCTACCCACTAATGTACTCTAGAAGACATGTTTTTTAAAGATTCCTCTGACTAAAATGTTGGAGTGTGGATCAAACTTTTAAGAGTTCTCTTGTGCTTCCCTTTAGATATTGGCTATTTGAGGCCATCTTGGATACCATTATCAAGCATGCCACAGTGTGAGTGGACTTTCCGAACAAAAACTATGTACACTGTTAGAAATAAATTTGACTCCACGAATTATTAGAAAATCGAACTTTCTTAAACCAATACATTTTAAAGGAAATTCTATGGCCAGCTTTGGACCTTATTCACACTGGGACTATCTTTTGTTTATATGTGTTTAGAGGCTATTTCCAAATGCACATAGATGTATGCAATGATATTTCTGCCTCCAGACCTTTCTTCTTGGGTTGTTAGACTTATAGGGGTTTATTTACTAAAGCTGGAGAGTCCAAAATCAGACTCCCTTCTGCATAGAAACCAATCAGCTTCCAGGTTTCATTGCCAAAGCTTCATTGAACAAGCTGAGGTTAGAAGCTGATTGGTTTCTATGCAGAAGGGAGTCTGATTTTGGACTCTCCAGCTTTAGTAAATAAACCCCATAAGGTCTAAAATTGATGTTTACTGACTTTGCACTCTGCACACTCACTGACTCCTTGTCACAGAGTTTCTGTCTTTCCATTCTAACAGGTTTTTATACCTTCCACCTTTCAATTTCACTCTATAGGGACTTAGCTCTCCTTGAGGCCTTACAGGGACTAACATTTTCAGGGAGTCACAATTCTCTTGCTTCCTTTAGTTTAGTTTCCTATTCATACCTGTTCATGATATCTATTCAAGACAGGTCCACCTGTTCCACTACAGATCCTAAGGTAGTCACCACCTTTGTCAGTATTCATAGGTTTTTGAAGGAATCATCCAATCAATGGTGCTCACCTTAAAAATAGGGGGGATTCCTGGCATCTGCGAGCCTTCCAGATATTTATTTCAATGTCCCAGCATTTTCAGCACTTAACAAAAACATTCAACACTTACAGTCAATATTGCTACCCCTTTAGTCACAGCTACCAAAGTATTTACAAAGATTCTAGACCCAGTCCTGGTGGCTGGAGGCACCAGGAGCAATTCAGTGATCGCTTAGTTTGCTGATCTTTTCATGAAAGTTCCAGAACTTGCAAATGAGCTTGCAGACTATACTGCAATCCCTGCAATAAATTGAAATGGTTTGTGAACTACTAAATCATCTTTATGTCCAATAAAAGGGTTGATCTTGGTTCAGGGGCGGACTGACCATTTGGAAACGGGCAATGCCCGAGGGCCCAGGGTCAGTAGGGGGCCCCATGAGATGCTCCTGGTACCTTTTTCATAGTCTTTTTTGAGTTTGGGCAAGGACACAGGGGCCCCATGATCCCCTATTGCCCGGGGGCCCCATGAGTTGTCAGTCAGCCCCTGTCTGGGTTTGATTCTGGATAACTTAGTAGCAAGGGTCTTTTTTGTCCTCAGAAAGATTGCACTTCATTAAAACAGCATTTGTCTTTGTTTCTGTATTTGGGCATGCAAGTTGTGGCACTGATGATCTTGTCTTTAGTGATGATTCCATTTTCTCAACTTCACACAAAAACATTTAAGAGGGCCATTTTGACAAGATAGGACAGACCTCTCTTTTCGCTTAACATACAGGTCTTCTGTCTCATATCAAGCTTTCTCTGATAAGGTGGCCTCGGTCCCAAAAGTTGCTAGTTCTTTTCCCTTTGATGGAGGATTCTCACCATGGACTTCTGGCTCACCAAATGAGAAGGATCCCTCGGCTCTCTGTCCGTGAGGATAAATGGAGTCCAAGCTGTCCAACATTGTCACAGCTCAGGAGATACCTGTTGAGGATACAATCTGAAATTGCCACCATGCTGGCAAACATATTTCATTAAGGAAACACAAGGGGATTTATTTACTAAAGCTGGAGAGTCCAAAATCAGACTCCCCTCTGCATAGAAACCAATCACCTTCCAGGTTTCATTGCCAAAGCTTCATTGAACAAGCTGAGGTTAGAAGCTGATTGGTTTCTATGCAGAAGGGAGTCTGATTTTGGACTCTCCCGCTTTAGTAAATAAACCCCAAGGAGTCAAGCTGCAAGGCAAGATATAAACACATTGCTGGTGCTCTAAGGTGCCTCCGATGCAAGGGACTCTTTGTCTTTGATCTGTATCTGACAGACCTATAGGGGGAATTATGGGTCTAGTGGAACTCCTTTACACTCAACTTAACTTTCCATTTCAATTAGCTAAATACACTAAAGGGACATCAAAACAAAAGGTGTGCAAACCCTTACAATAAAAAAATCCACATTATGAATATAAAAAAGTATCCTACTAGCATACTGTAGAGAAGGAGTCTGAGCTAGATCACTCCAATCAGCAGGGAGGGTGAATTCTGCTGACTGCAAAGCTAGAATTATGTCTTAGAAATGGGTATGGTGGCCCTCTGCAGAGAGACCACTGCTTCCACATGAAGAGGGTGGGGCCAGTCTTTTCTTAATCAGGCTGTGGCTGCTTTAAAGAAAATGAACTGTAAGACTGAGGTGAAAAAGTGTCCTATCATAACCTATCTTCCAACACTTTCCATTCCTTTCTTCCTGTGTCTTACACATCCTGTCTGTACATTATGTATGCTATTTTAACCTTCTCTTCTACCACCTTTTCTACCATATAGCATTCTGCTCCTCTGCTGGCTGTGATAGCCTTCACACTCCTTTTCAACAATTACTGCCCATTGTCATACCTTCCATATGTCTCTCCTGCACATAGTGACCCCTGTCTTACCCTCTGTACTTTCCTACACACAGTACCAGCCGTCATTGCCTCTTCTGCACATGCTCCCAGTCATCAAAACCTCTTCACTCTCCCCCTTCCCGCTGCTATGCCTGCCATGCTTCTGTCTTGCACATACTACCCACAATCATACCTTCCGCAGTCCTCTGTTTTGTAAGTTTGAGCTTGATTTGCTTTAAAAAAATTTCCTACTACAATTTCTGTGAAAACTTGATCAAGCTCATCTTGGATTGCACAAAACTGTTAACTAATGGTGGTAAAAAGTTGACTGACATGTCACCTGAATCGTCATTAGATACTGCATCAAAATCCTGTACATCTTAGTGATTGCTCTTTTTGTTTCTAATACACCTCTGACTAGATCTGTCAGTTTTATGGCTACAATGATATTACCGTTACATACAAAGCATAGCTTTTGTGCAGCATAGGAGGAACAACCAGCATGTAAAAAAAAAAAAATGTATTGGATTGGTATAATCAGTGTTGTTTACTGCTTCTCTACATTGACATAAACGTGTATGTCCAGTTCATGGACCACTCTGCAGTTTATGGTGGTTGGTTCACCTAAAGTCTATGGGTGACCTAAAGACTCTGCATGTAGCTTTTTCTAGCACGTAATCAAAATCTGCAACAAATAAGCACCCATATGCAGGGGCGGACTGACTACTCATGGGGCCCCCGGGCAATAGGGGATCATGGGGCCCCTGTGTCCTTGCCCAAACTCAAAAAAGCCTATGAAAAAGGTACCAGGGGCATCTCATGGGGCCCCCTACTGACCCCGGGCCCTCGGGCAGTGCCCAAGTTTCCAAATGGTCAGTCCGCCCCTGCCCATATGATATCACTAAAGGGCTTGTGGAAATGGGGAAAGGCAATGTGCTTTCAAGTAATTTGGAGATCAGTTTGAGATCCATCTAGTTCCTTATGGAGCTGCTCTTTACCTGTTTCTGAACTCCTCCTAAGATGCATCAAGCTTCTTTAAGATGCGTTTATATTCCCATTCACTTTAATGAGGAGAAAAGCAGTCCTGTTGTTGCTGAACACAAATCTAATAATTGATTAGGGCCCCTTTTCTAACTACTACAGCTTGTCTATTCATGGTAATCTTAGCTTACTATTGCAATCCTGTTCATGCACAAATGTACCCTAGGCTAAATAAGACTTGAAAAAATTTTATTCTAATTTGTTAGACTGTATATCAGGCAAGTGTTAGTTAATACCAGAATACCTTTGACCAAAAATCAATGAACATTATTGCTGCCATCTTTGAACATTAAACATATCCTTCCTATTTCAGAAGAAATGCAAGGAAGTGTTAGAAACATAAACTAAAACCATTGCTGTCTAGGGATAAAATGATCCACATTATATTTATTATCATCCTTTTCAGGCTGCTTAATCCAGCAGGCGTCAGGGAAAAGCAGGCTCAGCAGGTTAGTCCAGATTTCCCTTTGCTTTGCTAGAGATTCCAGCTCTCCCTTCAGGATTCTTAAAGTATGACTGAAGGCAATGCAGAGGGATGAAGGACTCCCCAATGGAGAATACATTTGTATTTAATTTTTTTCTACTTCCCATGTTAACTCATGAAGAGGTTCTCTGTTACTGATTCCATCAAGGGGCGTTCTCACAAGATAAGAGATATAAATCTCTCAGCAGCCCTTTAGAGTTACCATCAAAAGTAAAAAAAGAAAAAAATACAAATGTATGTGCCATTAGGGAGTCCCTCCTATTTTTCCCACCATTGCCATTGGATCTAAGTGAACCCCACATGATTTTGTTCACCCTAATACAATAGATGAATTGTTTTGGGATAGTCTTTTTTATTTTTGTTGAATAATAAATTGAATAATTTTAAGTAAATGCTACTTGGGGTTCACATTTTAGTGTGTCAACCAGCACATTGTGAAACCAGTTTAAATTGGATAAGAACACCTGTCAGTTTTTTACTGCCATCTACAGTGTCTTGAAAAAGTATTCATACCCCTTGAAATTTTCCACATTTTGTCATGTTACAACCAAAAAGGTAAATTTATTTTATTGAGATTTTATGTGATACACCAACACAAAGTGGCACATAATTGTGAAGTGGAAGGAAAATGATAAATGGTTTTCCAAATTTTTTACAAATAAATATCTAAAAAGTGTGGTGTGCATTTTTATTCAGCCCCCTTTACTCTGATACCCCTAACTAAAATCTAGTGGGACCAATTGCCTTCAGAAGTCACCTAATTAGTAAATAGAGTCCACCTGTGTGTAATTTAATTTCAGTATAAATACAGCTGTTCTGTGAAGCCATCAGAGGATTGTTAGAGAACATTAGTGAACAAACAGCATCATGAAGGCCAAGGAACACAGCAGACAGGTCAGGGATAAAGTTGTGGAGAGGTTTAAAGCAGGGTTAGATTATAAAAAGAGATCCCAAGCAGTGAACAGCTCATGGAACACGGATTAATCCATCATTCAAAAATGAAGAGTATGGCACAACTGCAAACCTACCAAGACATGGCCATCCAACCAATCTGACAGGCTGGGCAAGGAGAGCATTAATCAGAGAAGCAGCCAAGAGGCCCATGGTAACTCTGGAGGAGCTGCAGATATCCACAGATTAGGTGGGACAATCTGTCCACAGCACAACTATTAGTCACGCACTCCACAACTCTGGCCTTTATGGAAGAGGGACAAGAAAAAAAACCACAGCAAACATGCGGAAGAAGGTGCTCTGGTCAGATGAGACCAAAATTTAGCTTTTTGGCCTAAAAGCAAAATGCTGTGTATGGCAGAAAATTAACACTGCATATCACCCTGAACACACCATCCCCACCGTGAAACATGGTGGTGGCAGCATCATGTTGTGGGATGCTTTTCTTCAGCAGGGACAAGGAAGCTGGTCAGAGTTGATGGGAAGATGGATGGAGCCAAATACAGAGCAATCTCAGAAGAAAACCTGTTAGAGTCTGCAAAAGACTTGAGACTGGGGTGGAGGTTCACCTTCAAGCAGGACAACGACCCTAAACATACAGCCAGAGCTACAATGGAATGGTTTAGATCAAACCATATTCATGTGTTAGAATGGCCCAGTCCAGACCTAAATCCAACTGAGAATCTATGGCAACACTTGAAAATTGATGCTCACCGATGCTCTCCATCCAATCTGACAGAGCTTGAGCTATTTTGAAAAGAAGAATTGGCAAAAATGTCCCTCTCTAGATGTGCAAAGCTGGTAGAGACATCCCCAGAAAGACTTGCAGCTGTAATTGCAGTGAAAGGTGATTCTACAAAGTATTGACTCAGGGGGGCTGAATACAAATGCATGCCACACTTTTTAGAAACTTATTTGTAAAAGATTTTGAAAAACATTTATCATTTACCTTCCACTTCACAAATGTGGATAATTTCAAGAGGTATGAATACTTTTTCAAGGCACTGTATGTTCCCATTAGGGAAATTCAGCTTATTTGTCTTGGGGACCATTAAGACCAAAAAGAAGTTTTGAAAAATGTAATCCTCAAATGAACGTTCCTGAAATGGATGTTTTTTGAACAAAATTATTCTCGTGTATGGACATCTTTGTGAGCACCAAACATCAGCCCAAGAATAGAATTTACAGAATTACTTATTTATTTACAAAGTTGCGACCAGGGATGCCACTACATAAACAACCTGCTTCTATACAGACAATACAGCCACACAATTCAAATGTAACAGCATCACTGGGGTCTCTGGAAAGGCAAAATAGGACTAGCTCAGACATAATGGTCTCAGGAGAGGAAACATGGTCATAGGCAGTAATCTCAGGAAAGAAGGGAGACTCAGACACAGTATCTTGGAAGAAATAGGTTTCTCAGAGTCATCTCAGGAGGCAAACAATACTGGAGCAATTTATGGAGCACACTCATAAAGCAGAACATCTGGAACCTAGTTCAGAAAAGGCTGGGAAAAAATGGTCAAGGACCCACTTGGCAGAATGCATGGGTTTGTCAAGAGGATGGATAGAACGATTTCCTTGGAGAAGGCAGACTATACATTCTGCATTGCAAATTAAGCTGGCATCTGAGCAGCATCTAGTGAAGGTACAAGAGACTTATGATATCATTTAAAAACTTGTTGGCATGTATGTTTACAGGCGTAAATCTTGCTGGCTGTAGCTTGCAATATCAAAGAGTGACGTATGTTTGCGAAGATCTCAAAGCTGACCTTGCATGGAAATGAGAGATTCATATATTTGTTAGTTCTCTTCCCCACTGAAGAAAAACTGCAGTGGATCCCAAAGCTCATGGGAATGTGCTCATGCACAGTGCAGGAATGAATTCTTATAGAATTTAGGATCCTCGACATTCCCAGGATCGCACAGGAAGACCAAGTAATGTTACTCTTTCCTAGATGAGCAGCTGCTTCCATCGGTAACTGAACTGTAGCTGGACACTAAAGTGCAAGACAGCACAAGGCGGTAGCATGTAGACCACATATATTGTTGTTGTGATGGGCAGTGGAGAAGAGAGTGAAGTAGACTGCTTTCAGTGCTGGAAATTAGTGCCCGGAGACCAGGGGCGGACTTACAACTCATGGGGCCCCTGGGCAATAGGGGATCATGGGGACCCTGTGTCCTTGCCCAAACTCAAAAAAGCCTATGAAAAAGGTACCAGGGGCATCTTATGGGGCCCCCTACTGACCCCGGGCTCTCGGGCAGTGCCCGAGTTTCCAAATGGCCAGTCCGCCCCTGCCGGAGACTTGATATATTTACCTAAAGTAACATTACATTTATAGGGCTAGGTAGCAAAGGCTGTTTATACAGGCGACAGCAACATAATTGGAAGTATTGGGCTACAGTGACAGCTAAAGGTTTGATGACAGGGACTGCAGGTGTAGTTGCTATTGATATTTGAAAAACAGATAATGTTTGGGAGGGAAGAGAAACATAATGCTGGAGTATAATGGCTAAGGATGAAAACTGGCAATATCTAACTTGATTTATGCTAATAGATAAATATGCTTAGATTTCCAAATGTCTTGCTTTACTAGAAAGTGTACAAAGTTATTACAACATCTTAGGGACTCTTTGGAGAGTTAGGATAATACTCATGGAAATGGGATTGATAATATTCCAGCATAAAGATCAGATATTCAACTTGAGCAGTACCAAAAGGAAGTCAGACAAAGCAAGTTTGGTCCAGAATTTATTTAAAACCTTCACTAAATCAAAATGTCCCTTGTACATATTAATGAACCAAATAAAATATACTTTAACTAGATACCAACCAATAGTCTGTGCCACATGAGAAAAAAGTATTGTTGGGTATTACTAAAAGGGGACAGCACAGTTACCATTTGTGGGTCATACTTTAAATGGAACTTCACTCTCTTAATCAACATTGACTATTTTTATTCCCTATGCTGTTAGCATTAGTAAATAGATATGAAAGTATATCATATTTACATGTTTTCGATTTTATGTATTACAATTTTTCAGTTACTTTCTGGTTTCCAGGCCCACGCAAATGATGTCATACATTCCAGGATTGTTAAGGGGAGGGTGAAAAGAAGGGCCTTTCTCAGATAAGCACACCCCTCCTGCTTGCATGCCTGAGATAGGAGCAGAAGGATTCCAGGAAGTATATACTACATTAATCATCCGCCCGTACTCAAGATGGTCACAGCCAGAAATGCTAGGGGGTGTTTTTCAAAGTGATTAAATAAAGCATGGAGACATGGATGGATGGGTGAGTTTGCTTCAAATATTAAAAATGAATGAAATAGCGTTTTTGATTGTGGTGCTCAGATGCAGTGCATAACGCTGAAACAATCCCATAACTATGGGCAATACGATCAGGAAACATACAAGTTAAATAAGATCAATGTTACCCTGAGAAAAACACCCACAGGACCAGGGGCGGACTGACCATTTGGGCACTCGGGCACTGCCCCGAGGGCCCAGGGTCAGTAGGGGGCCCCATGAGATGCCCCTAGTACCTTTCATTGGGTGTGGTTTGAGTGTGGGTGAGGACACAGGGGCCCCATGATCCCCTATTGCCTGGGGGCCCCATGAGTTGTCAGTCCACCCCCTGCACAGGACTGAAGCAGGTGAACACAGCTATTCTTCAATGCTGGTATTCTGTTTCTTAGGCCCTCAACCCATCTAACTGGACTGGGGAACTGACAAGGACAAACTCACACTGAAATATATGGTATGTGCAATAGAGTTTTTCTTGTGATTAGCGGAAAGCAATCAACAGAACAGGTACAGTATTAGAGAAAAACATTTGAAACACAAACAGCACACTGTGACAATGGCTGGATCACGAGCTGTAAATAAAGGGATAAAAAAGCCTAAAAAAGAAAACCAATGCAGCCACCACATTTAAGGATTGGTAAATCATACTTTAAATGTTTGCTTTCTGGTTCACATATGATTTAATGCCTATGTATTAGAGCATCATCTAGCAAACAATGGTTATGATAAAAATAATTTGAATCCAGGAATGGGCATATACAGTAGATAACTGTGAGCTCTTTGCTTTGGTACAGTTGCAAAGAACATAAAATCTAATTAGCTATTTTTCATATTTATTAAAACATGTCTACTACTGAAGTTCCCTTGTGTCATTTGACAGCTGGGACATGTTTTGTATCACAGGAGCAACTGTTTCTGCTACTGTGTATATTGACACTTGCAGAACAGTGTCAGTAAGATCTACAATGTAGCAATGTTATTGTTACTACACTGTAGTTCATTCATAGCAGATCAAAGAAGTGCATATGATGTCAGTTAAAGCAACCTTGCAAGTTGAAGAAAAAAAAAAAGATCAAGAACCCACTATATGAGCAGACCCTTGTCACACAGGATGCTTGAGCTGCAAATACCTTCAGTGTGCATGGCTGTGACTATAGCTTAGAAGTGTGCACATGATCACTGCGATGGGCTGTCACCGTAATCACGGGGTCGGCAGCCCATCCTACAGGCTCATGATTGTTACTCTTTTGACCTGGAATTGTTGGTGCACAAAAAAGAATAATACATATACAGTATATGGCTGCATAGAATAAGGCCCACTTCATGTCGCCACACAAATGCATATGGCCAGCACAGTGGCTAAATGGTTAGCACTCCTGCCTGGCAGTACTAGGGACGTTGGTTCAAATCCCAACCACGGCACCACCTGCCTGGAATTTGCATGTTCTCCTGTGCCTTTGTGGGGTTTTCTCCTGGTACTCTGGTTTCCTCCCACACCCCCAAAGACATGCTGGTACGTTAATTGGCTCATGTGTATGTAGGAAAGTAAGTTAGGGACCTTAGACTGCACGCCCCTTGACGGGGGGGGGGGGGGGGTGTGGTGTGCGTGTGTGTGTGTGTGTGTGTGTGCTTGTAATTTGACGGCACTATATAAGTACCTGTAATAAATCAAATAAAAATATGGGTTAAAGTACTTATGGGCTAACTAGCAACTGTTAAAACAATAAACACTAGGAGTATGTAACAGCTCATACAGTAAAAGATTATTTACACACTTCTAAACTAGGTTAGGAGCAATAAAACAAAAAAAATGTTTCATGTTAAAGGGGTGACTCTAGCAGATAGGCATTGCTTTAGGCCCTAAAGGTAGCGTGCCTACAAGCTCCACAGACTAAAAATCTGGACTTGCCTCTAGCATCAGAATTTAAAAGATTTTGTATCATCATTTACCCACCCCGTTACTAAATTTACATCTGATCTGATGCAGCATACTGCGCATTTTCCCTGGATGGAAGAAAATCTCTGGCCCAGGAAAACTGAAACATTCCCAGAAATATGATAATAAAAATAACGCGCCTGCATGAAGTGTTGGTTATTATTGTCAAGGACTTATTATGGGGCCCAGATTCACATCCAGAGAACTTTCACATTTCTACTCTTTATTGAAGTATAACTGAATGCAAACCTTTCTATTTTCATGTTGGACAGAGTAGGGAAGGGTTTTAAACCCCTGTCGATTTTTTTTTTTTTTTTTTTTTTACGCCATCTGTGTCCTATTGGGGAGAATTCCCTTCACTCCTTGTCCCATAGCCACAACAGAAAGTGTAAGGAAATCCTTCCAAAGTGAGGGAAATCCCTGGTAATCCTCGTGGTCACTAGAAGATTTCTGGCCCTGGTGACCAATCAAAATTCGGGATTTTCTTTCACTTTTGGGTGACAATAGTAAACATGACAAATAGAGAGGATGATTATCCCTAACGGGGACACAGACCGTAAAAAAAACCTGGCAGGCTTCCCGTCCACCCTATAGCAAAACTAACGCCACAGGGTGGCAGGGCTGAGCAAAATCACGTATATATATGTGATCTTGTATTTCTGGGTAGGAGACGCATGAGCCGCCCTACCCGCGCCACCATTGGCGGCTACAGCTGTCGATCACTGGGCCTGGGCCAGAGATTCCCTGCCGACACCCGGCAATCACCAAAGAACACTGTCAGGGGAGAGATCTGTATGTAAACAACACAGATTTCTCCCCTGCCAGCACCAGCATGCTGCTTTGTATTGCTCTGCGTACAGCATACAGTTTACCCTTTGATTGCCCCAGATGTTAACCCCTTACTGCCCAGTGCCCTTAGTACAGTCTCATGCTTTTTATTAGCACTGATCACTGTATTAGTGTCACTGGGCATGTCAGTGGCAGTTAGTCAGTCAGCCCCCCCCCCCCTCATTTCAGAATGCCTGCCGCATTCCCACTATAAGTTGCTGATCGCCGCTATTACTAATATAAAAAAATTTCAGTATATATACCGCCATTTGTGGACGCTATAACTTTCACTTGAAACCGATTAATTTACATAAATTGGGATTTCCTTTAGCAAAGACATGTAGCAGAATACATTTTGGCCTAAATTTATGACGCAATTTGATTTTCTACATTTTTTTACTGGATATGTTTTATGGAAAAAAGTCAAAAATGTTTTTTTTTACAAAATTGTCGGTCTTTTTTTGTTTAAAGTGCAAAAAATAAAAAAACACAGGCGATCAAATACCACCGAAAGAAAGCTCCATTTGCGGGAAAAAGGACGTAAATTTCATTTGGGTGCAGCGTTTCATGACCACACAATTGTTAGTTAAAATAACACAGCTTTGTATCGCAAAAAATGGCCTGGTCAGGAAGGGGGGTGAATCCTCTGGAGGGCAAGTGGTTAACCCCTTCATTATACTTTTAAGTAAATGTAAAGGATCACATTTAGGACATTTCGTTTTCTAAAGCACTGTGTACCATTGCCATGGTTTTTTTTTTAGTTTATAAAATTGGAATTTTTTTGGGCGACAAGCTTAAAGCAGCTTTTAAAGGCGTAGTTTGCTGCCATTGCTGTGTGACAATTGCATGAAGATTGCATCAAAGGATACTGACACCCAATCGCATTACTTACAGCGATTCTGCCCGCAATTCCAAATTGCGAAGTGTAAATGGAGCCTTAGTGTATAAACTTTATGGCAGTATGTGCAATGTAGTGTAGATCTCCCAGTGTTCAGACTGATTGAGCCCAGAGGACGTGCATGTGCACGAAACGCGTCAGGTAGAGCCTACATTGCTGACATCATGCCGCCACTGCTGAAGGACGGATCGGTGGCCATTTTGTTTTCTGATTTTATTATACTCCACGTGGAATTTTATGTATATGACACGTTGATTTGAATAATAAAATACTTACACTATATTAGCATTCTTGGCTCCTGTGGTTGAACAATCTCCCTAGGACAAGGGACTCCCCTTCCATCTATACCCGGATGATACAGCAGGATTAACCCCTTGGCTGCCTCTGCACCTCCAGATGTGACATGTTATGATATACGCCTAACATTGTATATCTTCTGGTGAGTGTACATCCCTTAAA